AAAATACCAGTGACTTAACAGCAACTGAGACATAGTTTATAGTGTGATGTCTTATAACAATTCATCTTTTTAATTCTACTGTTTAAAAAGTTATGGTATGTTCATTAATACATAGGGATGCTTTTGATTTCTGGTTTCACTGGAAATTTTTTTTTTTTTAAACAAAAATCTTCCATATCAACAGTGTGATCAAAGAGATGGCAGATTATTGCAGAGATCCTTAGATGATGTTTCTGAGTCCTTAAAACATGATGTTTTATCTGAAATTTGGTGGGTTTGGCAAACAGATAACTAGAGGAAATATTTTCAAGGCAGTAAAACAATACCTATTTTATCCTTTTCTGCCACACTAGTATGTAAAAATATCAGATAACATTCAGGTTAATGGGAATAAATTTTGAAAAGCCTGTTATAGTAAACTTAATGCCTTAAGTTTGCTGTTTTGAAACACACACAGTACCTCGCATGTCTGCAAACCTCTGCTATACTGTTAGCATGGTATCTGAAAACTAATAGCCTCTGTAGTTACACATTGTTTAATTAATCCATGATCTGTCATATTTATTGGACATACCCACTGTCTAGTAATTTCTGCATAGTTCATTCTGTATCTCGGATCTCAAATGCTTTGATTGCTGTAAAAGGTGCTTTGTGTCCTGGCCTCTCACCCAAGCACATGCTGCATGGTAGGTAACGAAGCGCAACCTAATGAGCCTCGGTAACTGAGCTGTCCTGGGGAGCCAGTTGCTGGTTCAGTGACCTGTATTACCCAGTATCTCGTTTGGCAGAGAATTAAGAATGGAGCAGACACATCATCAGCAGATTTTCCTGAGTGCAGACTCATTTTGGTACAAGCTGTCAAAGTCCAAGGACCCTCCAATCTAGCTTTCTAAACCTCATCTGTCAGTGGAGTATAATTGGTTTATAAATTGGCTTTAAGATAATAACAGAAGTAACCTTTTTACACAAAAACTGGGTCTGCAACTATGATAAACTACAAAGCTTAAAAATAATAATCCTGAATAATGTATCAGTGAAACATCCTAGTGGGTGATTGGTGGTGGGAGGCTGCTGTTGCGAAACACTCAGCCGTTGCAGTAACTCACATAACTGATGTTAGAGCCACTTGTGTGGAAGTTTTGTTGTGGTTTTTAGTTGCTTTTTAACTGCTTTGTCTCGCTACAAGAGTGCTAATACAGTGTTTGACTTCTGTGTCAGCTTGTGGCAAGTAGGAGAGCTCTCCACTGGACCACAGTCATTCAAAAAACTGAAGTGCCTGAACATCAAGTAACCTTCATGAATTAAGGATTCTTTGTACAAAATGATGTTCATTCAGTTTTGTTTAGTTGGTTGTTCTTCATATCTGCAAATGCTGTTCTGTTGGGCAGATTGTTCCCTGTCTGTGTGCAGAGGCTTCTTTTTTTTGTTTGTTTGGTTGGTTTAACATGCATGCTAAAGCTATCCACACGTAGATGTGTGCGCAGACATCTGAACAGAATATAGACGTCTCTGTGCTTTAACAGAGGGATTCACATATCCTCACTGCAAGTCCTTCTGGCATGTCCAGATCGTTGAATTGCACATCATGTGAGACTACAAAAAAATTCAGTTCATGGCTTTCCTAGTCAAGTTAGCTGTGATATTTAATTTGACCTTCCCTCTCTCCTTCTCACAATTATTGGAAGTTTAGTACGTACATACGAAAAATAGATGAGGAGAATTTGAGGACTTGTGCTCTTAGAGTATACTTACTAGTTAGCTGAAATGCCAGTTGAGTCCAGACATGCCAGCCAGTCCAAGGGCCAGGTAGGTTTGCATAGGCTATTGTATTACAAAGAATCCAATTATAAGGTAAACCTAGTACAATTTCAGGTTTAAAATAAATTTGGGGAGTTGTATATCTTTGTTTCCTGTATGTTAAACATGTACAACATTTGAATATACTTGATGTATAAAATATACTCAGAGATCTTTCTTGAATTAGGATGGCTTCCTTTCTTTGGTAGATTGTGTTCTGTACTTTTAAGTAATTGCCTTATTACAGTAAAGCAGTTGTTTCTCTTAAAAAAAATAATGTCTTTGAGATTATGAAGGTACTAGGAAATATTTGAAGATTTGCATTTAGGTCCTCTTTCTTTGTCAAATTGCCTGTTTAAAAAAGGGGGGGGAAATACATTTTTGTACCCTATTATTAGTTTATTCATAGGAGTCAGCTCATATAAAACAAGACAAGGATATCACCATTTTTTTTAAAGTGAAAAGCAGTAAGGTCACTCCACTTAGTTCATTATCTCTAGTCAGGTCAAAAATAGCCTCATATTTTGTCTTAGCACACTAGTAATAGTTGTGTACGTATGACTGTATTATACAATGCTTGTAGGTTAAGTGGTTTGGAGGGGCCATGATAGAATAAAATGTGAAGCCAGACAATAGAATAGAAAATGCAATCGATCTATAAACTTTTTTTTTAATTAAGACCTGTTTAATTGAACACCTGTTTACTTGTAAAACAAGATTTGTACTATTTAGCAAGGCACCTCCAGCAGCAGTTTAATTTCACCCTGGACAAAGCTGTCCCAGTGCTATCTGCAGTTTCTGCAGCATGCATGAGAGAGCTGGACCTGAAATACTTCCCATCTCTAGCAAAACTGATGGCACTGGCTAGAAGATAAAAGAGTGGTCCAGAGTAATTTTGCTGGACTCTGTCCAAAGCACTGCCCTTGTTCTAAGAGAGAGCCCAAAGCTGCAGATTTTCCATCCATCCTCATTATTTATTTTTCAGTGGAGCTCAGTCTCTAATAAAATAGATGAGATGAATAAAAACCAAAACAGATAGAAAACGTAGAGCTCTGGACAGAAGGAGGAGCAGGAAAATAGTTATGTTTTTTCTCAGTGAGAGAAAAATAAAAATGTAGAGGGGAGGGAAGAATGGGCTATAACGGATTTGCTTAGTGCTCAGAAATACTCAGGATTTACAGCCACAGCAGTCTTGAAGTTAGGGCAGTAGTGTCATTCATTTGCTGTATTAAACTTCTGCAGACAAATGGATATGTGGTTTTGGTGTTTTCATTTCTGATCAGTTTAATCCTTGTATCTCTTTCTTAGTTTAATAAAGGTCGCTGTATCTCTGTGAGTGGAGTCTGTGTGTTTGGATTGAGATGAACAGAACCAGCGCAGCTCAGAGGGAAGCTGTATTACAAACAGCCAGCACCTCATCTTCAGTTCATCTCTCAGACGCTTCATCCTAAGTTGATTCAGAGCATCCAGGATATGGTTGTGTTTTGTCATACTGCAGCAGAGTTCTGACCTTCGTTTATATCAAAGGAGGATGAGGCTTCAAATAGTTGAGCAGGGTCAGACGTTCTATGTGGCTTTGCAGTCACGGGGATGAAAATAGAAGACTTGTATTAATACTCAGCTAAGTCATGAGAGAGATCTCAGAAGAACATCTAGTGTCCCCAGATAGAATATTAAAGACTTTTAGAGCTCTTAGAGTTCACAGTGAAGTGCAGAAGGTGACCAGGGAATTACACACAGAAATTCTGTCTTCCTGCATCTACAAAATCAACAGGAAAGCAACTGTGATTCAGTAATGCTTCCGGTTTGATATCAGTAATATTGACGTGATAGATGGTAATGATTTCAATGTATCATGCAATAGATTGGAGCATATTGTGAGGCAGCTGTGAAACAGATAAATCTAGAGAAGTGAAAACTGCAATACAATCAATGTTCGAAAAGACAAAAATATAAATTCTTGTAAAATTACGTTGAACACAGTTGTCAAAAGCAACAAGCTATAAAAGTTTGATATCTGAGTAATCTGGTGAGGAAAAGGAGGCTGCCTGCTAACTGACTTATGTGCTGAGATGATTCCCAGTCAGTGTTAATGAGACTGTAAAGGTGCATCGGTTTCTGTGTGGACAATGTGCAAGACGGAGCAGCCACTTGCTCTGCAGTTTGTTTTTGACCTTTATATCAGAGCCATATAAGACAACTGAATGTTTTTTAAGCGCTCCCATAGGATGATTTTATTTCAGCCTTTGAAGCCTCAGTACTCTAAGCAAAAAGTGCTAATGTAATTATGATATGACATTCATGTTCACAAGACCCTAGAGCTGCATGTTTAACTGGATTAAAGCAAATGGAACCTGATGCGGTTTTGGCCTTAGAAGTTGCTCGTTTTTTACTTATTTAATCGTGCCAAAACTGAACAAGGAAAATATTCTTCTAGTGTACCTTAGCCCTAGTTGTCTTGACTCTGCAACCGCTCTGTTGATGATGACTCAAAGCCATGGTGAACTAATTAAGACAGTACTGTGTTACTAACAAAAGAGCTGCTTTCTTCTTCCCTCCTCCCTCTAGCAGTTTGTCAAACAAAATTGTATCCTATACCAAATAATAGAAATCTAATGTATCCTGGCACTCTGTCTTTAGTCAACCAACAGTATTTTGTAATGCTGTTGTAGTATGTGTATTAGAGGACTCGTGTTTTATGCAGCCCATTAACACAAGGGAATCATTAATTTCTGGAGAGTTTCTTTGCCAGAAAGATGTGGGCTTTAAATCTTCTGCGTACGTAGAAAAGTACTGTCCATCTCAAATGTTGTAAATGGGTATGATCATTTGAAAATAATAGTGTAGTAATATTTTATGCTCTGCATTTTAAATAACTGCATTTTACAACTGACATTCTTTTGGAACTCTCTCTGATACATTTGTATCTGCGTAGAAATGCTTACATACAGTGTCTTAATGTTTTTTTCCTGTGGATCAGGATTCTAAGGTGCTTCTGTTTCTCTTATTTGTAGTTTTCTGTGCTTTGCATGCATCTTAAGATAATTTTGTCTTCTTTAAAGTATTTTTGTGGTAATATAGTTGTTCTTTCCACCTTTTTTTTTTATATAAACAAAGGACACGTGTTAACATCTGCTTTTTGAAAGTTGTCTTTTAAAACTTTTAGCAATAGTTAACTCAGCTGCTTGTCTCTGCTCTCTAAGGGGTCGCCTGGCCTGACATGCACCGTCTGGCTGACAGAGTCCATCTGGAGGAGTTGACTAAAATTGGCATTCTGAAAGGCAATGTAGATGACATGGTGAAGGTTCATCTGGGTGCAGTATTTATGCCACACGGACTTGGACATCTACTTGGAATTGACGTGCATGACGTTGGAGGCTACCCAGAGGTTAGTGTTAGTCCATTCTCAACTGCCTTGCAGATTAACCCCTCTCAGTTCGATCTGCATTTCTCTTAGCTTATGCATGATTAGCCAGTAGCATCTTCACAGAGGTGGAGCAGAAGTGCATTTAAGTGTGTCTTTGTCTGGATGTGGTATTTTATGCAGTTTACTTTAAGGGAATCTATTAGTTCATTAAAACATAAATTGCTTATGGTAAGAAGTCACCTGACGCTGCCCTTTACGCATTCTTAATCTGTTCAATTTCTACATAGATTGTGTTGTTCCTCCATGAGTCACTGCTGTGACATACATCGCTCAAGCGTACCCTATGATGTGACAGAGAGCATCTCAGTCTACCCAAGACCTGTAGTGGGAAGACTCACTTTCCCCATTCCAGATGTGAGACAGCTGTGGGAGCCCACTGCTGCATCTGGGCTAGTGATTCCCAGTGGGTGTGTCATCTGGAAGCAAGCTGGCTCATATTCCTGTCTTGAATGTAGATCTCCAGTGTCAACATGGTCACCAATGTAGATGTGTTGCTCTGGAATGAGAACAGAAACGAAAAAAATCCATCAAGTCTTCCAAATATGAAAGGATAACCTCTTTTATTCTGAGTTTCTGGAGAAAACACAGAATGATTACCTTTTTTCCTTGAATTAACAGGATGGTTCATGACTGTGGTCTGAAAGCAGAATGCATAAAATTCTGTAACCAATGAATGGTACGATGTTTGCAATGATACTAAAAAAAAAAACCCAAACTCTAAGGGGAATTGAACTTAAGGTTTGAATAAAGAAGGAAAGTTTACAGGAGCTTCAGAAAGTTTTCAGAAGGAATTTCTGTGTGTTATGTTTTGCTTTTTTTGAGGCTGACTGTTTAAAGGTTTTCAATAATACAATACGGAAATGGATCATTTGCCTTCTCTCTTACGTAAGGTGTTCTTTTACAAGAACCTGAAAAAGGAACTGAGAACTTTTTAGGTAAGGTTTAAGCTTATTTTGGAGCTTGTTCATATTGGGTGGGCAGGCCACATAACAGCTGCTACTGCTTGGTTCACTTTTGCAAACAAGGGATGTGATTACTTGGAGAGTTCATGGACATCAAAATCTGGGACCCCGAAGATGCATGCCTTTGCTTAGATTGTTTTTGCTTGTGTTGTGAATAACCTTCCTGAATTTGGTGGACTTACATAGGGTAAAGAGATAGCTAGATTTTAGGAACAAGTGAGAAGAATTGTGGGAGTAAAAAAGTACCATGCTTGATGTTTACTTAGAAACGATGCTTTGAAGGTTAGAGCACATACCTTAATTTCAAGGGAGATTTCTAGAACTGATTTTTGGAGAGTATAGAGCAATGGACCCTGTGCACCTTCCATCCCTCAGCAGGTTTCATTAGTGTGGCATATGAGCTACAGAATCAGTTTTTGAAACTAATTTTTATTTACATATGACCAAAATTATAAATGTTAATTATCCATTGTATTATATAATTTAAGGGTCATTTTTCTGAAAGCAGACCGATCTATCCACAGAGCAACCTGTTATAGATAAAAATGGGTTTAGAGATTGTATTGTCTAATGAGTTAGGCTCTCCACTTTCATACTTCACATGTGTAAAAATACCAGAGCTCTGTGCAGATAGAGAATTCTATAACTGCAAATATTAAAATTATTTGTGTAGACATGCACCTGCATTCTTACATTAATCATGTTAGCATGGCTAATTTACATTCAAACATCCAATACTAAATAACAAATTTCCTGAATATGGGAGAAGCATATATATAAGCTCACAAACAAATAGCTGAAGTTCTGTATTTGCACATAAATATGCATGTCGATAGAGGTGGGGCATCAGGTTAGTTTGAAAAATAATGACTTTGGGGTTCTGCAGAAGTGCAGCCCCTTTAAGCTCTCTCTACACCATTAATTCCTCCTCTGTTAGGCCTTTCACCTCTCTCTTACCCAAAGCATGAGGTTACTTATATTGAATTGACTAAGGTGAGGTACCTGAGTGTCGGAGCACCTGATGGTGGAAAACCCACATCAAAAGCTTGTCAATGGGGTGAACTTCATTAGGCTTCTCTGGGCTTGAAGCTCTAATGGGAGGCACAGTCCCTGCCTGCGGCAGGAGGGAGCTGCACGGCTGTGGTGCCGGGGTGGCACTGGAAGGCTTCAGGGGACGTGGTTTTCCCCAGGTAAATCTGAAAGTGAGCAACTGGGCACCTCTCGTGTCCGTGTGATACGTGTCTGTATTAAATGGGAGAAGGCTTTCTGCCTGTGTCTCGTTGTTTCATGAGAAAACACATTTTGAAGACAGCTAGTACGCTGTGGAGTGATTTTTGGTGTGTTTTAAATGTTTACCAGCTAGCAGCATTTTCACAAGGATTTTCATAAAGCCATTTGTGTGTTTATTGTGCACTGAGCCCATGCCTGTAGTATCATGCTCTTTTTTCTAGCTGGTTAAGAAGCAAGTTATTTGCTTTTGGCCAAGGGAATTTCTGGGAGCATTACAAAGGATTTTTTAAAAATACAAACTTTCCAAGTGAATATTATTCCAGTATTTTTCCTCAAGTGTAAACAGTTACATTTGGAATAATACAATAAGCTTTAATTTCCTAATTTTTATCCGTCACAAAGTTTTGTTTGTTCCAAAAAAACTATTTCCAGACATTGTTAGCTTAGATTAGTTATTCATTAGTAGCCAAAGATTTCTTTTTTCAAAATTGGCAATAATAAGTTTTCATCTTTTCCAGTAAGCTGCTTTCACATGCAGCGTTGAACAAGCACTTTCTTCCTCTTTGACAAACACTGTAAAAAACTTGCATGTTTTCTGCAAAAGATACTCTGGGATATTAGAAAAATATTACATTTCCCTTCCTCTTTTTTGCCATGATAAAGAATAATTGGTTTTGGCCAGCAATAAATGCAGCTTAGCAACTATGGGTAGGGCAAAATTTAAAAGACTGTAACCACCACTGTTTCCCACTGAAGCACGTAAGTAAATGTCCTGATTTTTCAGAAGTACTCAGCAGTCAAGAGCTCCTTCGGGAATCGGGCCTCCTGCAGTGTACTGTGGTATTCCTCATGGGGAAGCCGAGCATCGAACGCTTCTTTGAAAATCTGTCTGCTTCTTTTAAGGGTCTAACTACAACTTGAGCAGTTCTGAAAATTCGGCCCCAGTGGTACTAATCACTTCAGAAAATCTGGCCCTTAGTCAGACAGAGCTAGCTTCAAAGGGTGAAAACTCCGCTGGGTTTAGCTTCAGCTGTAAAATTTAATCATGGAGATGGTTTTCCCACAGTCTTTCATTTGTTTCTGGGTAAATTTGATATGGGGTATAAATGAGGGTTTGTGCCTGTTGCAATGGAGAAAATGTGGTAGGTGATCCCAAATTTTCAGACCCTGAGGTAGATGGGGATGAAGTTTTAATTTAAATCTAGGTTCTGCGTCTCTAGATGCTTGAGTTGATTCAATTTCATGTTATATTAATTGACTGTAAGGCTCTAAAGAATGCTAAGTACATTTGATGACTTTCTATAATAATAAGCCAGTTAATTTAAGTTAGGTTAATAACTACTGTGATTTTAACATCTTGTGAATTAAGAGTTTCATTTTGTTTTGTCTTTTAAAATTATAAGATTTACCTTAGTTTAAACTTTTAATTCAATTCTCTAGTCTCATGAAAAGCTGATCCTTTCATCGCTATTCTGCATCAGCAAATTAAGGTTAGAGGTTTGTTTTGATCCTGAGTTATCCATGTCCTTCCATTACTGTGCATGCTTGGGGAACATCTCTACTGCTCGGAGAGGTCTACAAGCTGTGTCTGGCTCTAACAGTAAGCTTGCTCCCAGATCCCAGATGACTGTCTGGGGATTTAGGTCACCAAACCTACTAGAGAATACAGGAATAATCTTGTTCCCTTTCTTGTTCTGGCAGAAATTGTTTTCCTTATGTATCCTACTTTATGCTGAAGCAGAAGATTCTGGTTTTTTGTGGTTAGCATTGCAGATGATGCATTAATGTTTTTTCCTTTAAGAAGCAGAGGATGAGGTGAATTTACCAAGGAGCCTAAAGCTGTTATGTAGAGCCCCGGTGCTGCAAATTGCTCCCCTTGGCCATAACCTTGAAAAAGCCTTGCTCTAGCTGTGCATACCCAAAACCTGCAAACATGAAACAGCCCGTATGGTAGGCACTTACATGATAAAAGTGTAAAAGGGCCTTTCACCAGTTTTAACTTTAGGTTTTGTTCTTGTAAGCGATTGTACACCTTGAGAAAAGATTAGAAGAAACCTGCTGCTTCAGCTTCATGGGGTCTCCTTGAATCACTTTCTTTCTGGTTCTTTGCATTCCTGAATAGCAGAGCCCTATGGTTGTGGGGGCTGTTGAGCAGGCAGAGTGCAGGCAAGAAACAAAGTGGCGAAGACTTTCAATTCTGCAGCATTTACATGCAGAACAGCACTGGAATCCATAGTGCTTATTGTTATCAGTTGGCTCAAACATCAACCAGGAGAGTTTCCTGCAGCCTAAGATTCTTCAGTGGGATTTAAACCCCTTCCAGAGTTAGGTTAAGCTCTCTTCTTACCCTGCTGCAGCATCTTACATGTGCTCAGAAAAGCTGTGATTGGTTCCCAGCAGCTTCTCCTTGTGAGGACCGATGCTGGAGTTTGGGTGTTTATGGAAACTTAGGACTTGAGGAGAGGCAGAGGAGCAGGGAGGGCTCAGGTGCTGTGTCAGTGCAGTGCTGGGGTGCAGAGGAGCAGGGAGGGCTCAGGTGCTGTGTCAGTGCAGTGCTGGGGTGCAGACCATGCCCTGTCGTACCACAGGGTTTCCCTTCTCTTCTGAAAAACAAAGTGTCATGGACTTGGACTTTTTTTTATTGGTTGGTTTGGGTTTCAGTAGTTCTGGTTGATTTTTTTTTTAATGGAAGTACTTGCTTGTGTTTCTCTTAATTGTTGAAGTTTGTTGCAAAAGACTTTCTGTGCTAAGAGAATTTTTATCTGATTA